AAAAAAAAAAGAGAGAGGTGCAGACAGGCAGGCAGGCAGACAGACAGCCAAACAGACAAGACAGACAGGCAGGCAGAGAGAGGTAGTAGTCACACAACAGTGATTGCACTCAGGGTTCTTATTTGTCGTTGAAGGAACTGGGCCTCCGGGTCGCTCTGGCCGCCGTGTGGCCGCCGTCACCGCCGCGTCGCCACCCATCGCCGCCCGTCGCTTGGGCCTGCGGGCCGTGCTGGCCGCCATGTGGCCGCTGTCGCCGCCTCGTCGCCCGTCGCCGCCCGTCGCTTGAGCCAGCGGGCCGCTCTGGCCGCCATGTGGCCGCCTTCGCCGCCCGTTGCTTGGACGATGGATAGCAACCGCATCACATCGCAATCGCACTGCATTGCATTGCCTTGGTTTACAATGCGTTGCGCCGCTTTGCGTTACGTTGCGTTGCTCCGCATTGTTTTGCATTGATTTGTATTGGATTGGTTTGCATTGCTTTGCACTGCGTTGCTCTGGTTCGCATTGCTTCGCATTGAGCTGAATTTGGGTCGAAATGCTATGCATTGATTTGCATTGGGTTGAATGACTTGCAGTGCGTTGTACAGGTGTGCATTGTGGCACGTTGCTTCGCATTGCGTTACATTTGGTGCGCACTGAGTTGCATTGTTTTTTTACATTGTTTCGCAGCACAGAGAGTACACCACCTGGGCTGTGCCGCCTAGACAGCACCACATCGATTGCACGACCTAGTTTGCGCCGCATCTACTATAAGAAGTCACGGCTTGGGGCCCACGCTGGCTACACCTTGGAATGATTAGAGGGGGGGATACATCCGAATGGCATTCGGCCCATCCCGCCACCGTGCTTGGGGCTGTGGGTCAGTGTCCTCAGAGCTGCCTGTCGGGGTCTCTTGGGATGCCCTTCGGGAGGCCCTTGGGAGCAGCGTTGGGGCCCATTTGGGGCCGCTCTGGGCCTCGCGGCGGCCTTTGGAGGCATATTGGAAGATTGCTGGCGGTCTCGGGGGCTATCTTGGGGCGCAGGGCGCGAAGGGTCAGTCCGTGTTCCGCGTGCTGGGGCTGCCTTGGGGCCGTTGCAGAGGTCTCGTGGGCCGCCTTGGGACCTCCTTGGGAGCCTCGTGGAGGCAGGCATCCTGGGCCGTCTTGGATCTATGCTAGGAGCCCCGTGGGGCGCCTTGGAGCGTCGGAAGACCGAAATGAGTTTCGTTTCTCGGGGCTTTCCTGGACGTGCTCTTAGGACCTGTCTGGGGCGTCTCAGGGGCCTTTGGGGCAGTCTGTAGGCCATCTGGGGCGTGGACTGATCGCTCGGCGACGCGGAGCCTTCTTGATCCGTCTGAGAGGCTTCTTGGGGCCCTGTTGGCCCGTCTCTGGGCCCTCTGGAGCTTGAAAAAGTCGTACGACAAGACGCGGGGAACCGCGGGAGCCCCGCGGGGTGCCCCAAAAAGTTTGAGAATCTGGAGCCCAGGCCCCTTAACCCATCACTATGGGGATTGGGGGGTTGAGGACTACAAGGAACCTGAGGACACTCCAGCTCGTGCCTCGCGGTAGGGTGGCGAATAGTTAATGGCTTTCGGTTCATCCCGCCATTTTGCTTGGGTTTTGGTATGATGTCTATTGGGTGTTCGTTGGGACCGCGTGGGGGGCATCTTGGATGCAGTTTGGATGCCTCTTCGGGGCAGCGCGCGGGGCATAGTGGGGCATCTTTTGTGTCTCTTGGGGTCCTCTTGCGGTCTTTTGGTGGCCTCTTGTGGGCCTCTTGGGGCCTCCTGGGCGCCCCGGTTGCATCCTAGGGGCCTCTTTGGGCGGAAGGCTCGGATGTTCGGTGCGTGTTCTTTCTCGTGGGCTCCTTTTGGTGGCGTCTGGGAGCCTTCTTGGGCCGTCTTGGGCGCTTCTTGGGCCGCCTTGGGGCGCTATTCTGCAGTCTTGGGGCCTTCTTGGAGGCCTCCTGGGCAGTTTTGGAATGGTTTGGGGGGCATCTTGGGCCGTCGTGGAGCATCGGAAAGCCGAGAAGTGGAGAACGCCAACATCCATCAACAACCTAAGGAAAATCAATGGTTCTTGCCACTTGGGGGCCCTCTTGGAAGGCCTCTAGGAGGCCTCCTCTTGCCTCTTCCAGGCCTCTCGGGCCGCCTGGGGGGCCCTCTCGGGCAAATCTTGGGCAAATCCTTCGGCGACCCGGAGCCCTCTTGGGGCCGCCTTCGGGGCCTTTTGGGGCCCTCTTGGCCCGTCTTAGGGCCTTCTTCTTGGCATCGCTCGGACGTGTGCATGTTTTCCTCGGCGGGAACCACCCTGGACCGTCGAGCAAAAAAGCACGCACGACACCGAAAAATGCACGGGAGATGGACGTCCGAGCGACGGCACGTCTTCGGGCTCGAAGAGTGCACGCGCCGCCGCTTCCCCAAAGTCCAAGGGGCCCGCGGGAAGTCCCACGCCACGGGGCACGCGCGAAGCCCCGGCAGGGTCCTGACTTCGGAGGTTCTTGGTGCCCCTTCGTAGGGGGGCCCCTCGGGAGCGAGGGCTGGTGCCTCGAGGACTCGGCGAAGGGGGCCCGAGGGCACGCCAACCTCCGTGCCCAGGGGCACTCCCGGTGCTGCGCGCAGCGCAGCCGCACGTGCTGCTCGAGGCTGCGTGTGCACAACGGTGTGCAGGGCTGTCGCGCAGCGTGCGTCGCGCTTGTCATCCAAATTGAGACCACCAGTCCTTGCAGAATAGATATGTACATGTGTACATACATCTGTGTACATGGATACACGTACATAGAAACATTCACATGCATATATATATATATATATATATATATATATACACACCTGTATACAAATATACATATAGATCTTACATGTATCTGCATGGCACAAACGCGTACATACAGACACACACATACATATATACATATATATATATAAAAATATGGGTCCTGCCGTATCCCCGCCCCCCTGACAAACTGAGCAGAGGGGGCCGATTGTCCAGGGTCCTCTTCCTCCTCGTCCTCCTCCTGCTCCTCCTCCTCCTCCTCCTTCTCCTCCTCCTCCTCCTCCTCCCAATCAGATTCCCCTATCGAAGGCGGAACCAAGCAAAACCATAGGAAACCCTCGTCGTCGTCCTCGTCGTCGTCGTCGTCGTCTTACCTCCTCTGTCTTGCCATTGTTCTGAAGAGAGTCTGCATCCGTGGCATCCAGGCAAGGGGCGAGCGAAAAACAACAACGGCAAGGAAAAACCAAAAAAACCTAAGGAAAAACCAAAAAAAACAAAGAAATCAAAGGCAGACCACCGAAAAACCAAAAAAACCTAAGGAAAAACCAAAAAAAACAAAAAAACAAAGATTTCAATACTTTCTCTTGGGGGCGCGGGGGTGGACGAAGCACTGAAATCTTTGTGTTTTTTTGTTTTTTTTTGTTTTTCCTTCGGTTTTTTTTGTTTTTCGGTGGTCTGCCTTTGATTTCTTTGGTTTGTTTGGTTTTTCCTTAGGTTTCGTTGGTTTTTCACCCCCCTCCGCCAGGCCCCCGTGGGGGGCGGACGGCTCCGGACGCTCCCACGAGGCCCCAGGACACCCCTGGAGGCACCAGAGAGGCACCAGGGAGGCCCCAGAGATGTCCCAGAGACGCTCCTGCAGAGGACCCAAAAGGGAACCCAGCAAGGGACCCAGGAGGAGACCCAGGAGGGAACCCAGGAAGGGACCCAGGAGGGAACCCACGAGGGTACCCAGGAGAGAACCCAGGAGGGGACCCAAGAAGGAACCCAGGAGGGGACCCAAAAGGGAACCCAGCAAGGGACCCAGGAGGAGACCCAGGAGGGAACCCAGGAAAGGACCCAGGAGGGAACCCACGAGGGTACCCAGGAGAGAACCCAGGAGGGGACCCAAGAAGGAACCCAGGAGGGGACCCAGGAGGGAACCCAGGAAGGGACCCAGGAGGGAACCCAAAAAACAGGTTACCATCACTGTGCCCGAACACAAGGCCACATGGTTGCACGCCTGTCACGCAAGGACACCAGCAACGGCTCAGCATCAGTGGTGATACCACACAACAAACCAAAACTTCAACACTGCAAAGCGCTTCCATGGCGTTACTCTGGAGGGCATCCGAAAAACGGATGCCCCTCCGTGGCGGACGCGGACCCAGGAGGGAACCCAAAAAACGGGTTCCCATCACTGTGCTCGAACACAAGGCCACATGGCCGCACGCTTGTTACGCAACGACACCAGCAACGGCTCAGCATCAGTGATGACACCACACCACAAACCAAGTCTTCGACGCTGCAAAGCGCTTCCACGGCGCTACTCTGGAGGGGCATCCAAAAACGGATGCCCCTCTGTGGCGGACGCGGGCCCAGGAGGGAACCCAAAACACGGGTTCCCATCATTGTGCCCGAACACAAGGCCACATGGTCGCACACTTGTTACGCAACGACACCAGCAACGGCCCAGCATCAGTGATGATACCACACCACAAACCAAGATTTCAACACTGCAAAGCGCTTCCATGGCGTTACTCTGGAGGGCATCCGAAAAACGGATGCCCCTCCGTGGCGGACGCGGACCCAGGAGGGAACCCCAAAAACGGGTTCCCATCACTGTGCTCGAACACAAGGCCACATGGCCGCACGCTTGTTACGCAACGACACCAGCAACGGCTCAGCATCAGTGATGACACCACACCACAAACCAAGTCTTCGACACTGCAAAGCGCTTCCACGGCGCTACTCTGGAGGGGCATCCAAAAACGGATGCCCCTCTGTGGCGGACGCGGACCCAGGAGGGAACCCAAAACACGGGTTCCCATCATTGTGCCCGAACACAAGGCCACATGGTCGCACACTTGTTACGCAACGACACCAGCAACGGCCCAGCATCAGTGATGATACCACACCACAAACCAAGATTTCAACACTGCAAAGCGCGCGATTGCCATATTCCTCCACTACGGCGTCGCTGCTCGGCCTAGCGGGTGCGCCGAGTGCGGCGAGCCGACGAAGTTCGAAGCCCGCGCCGACCGCGAGTAGAACACCTACCGCTGGTCGCGCAAGACCGTCGGGCACAAGCACTTCTGCGAACCTGTGAACTCGCACGGCTTCCTCACGAAGGTTCCTGTGAACTCGTGGATGCTTTTCCTGTACTTGATCAACAACCTCCGCTTGGGGCGCAACCTCAAGGACGTCCAGGACGAGATGGCCGACCTGTTCGGCAACATTCACAGGGACACGATCTCCGTTTGGAAGCAGCTCTACCAGGAATGCCTGGGGAAAGCGCTGCCTGCGTTGGACGCCCTCATGGTCGGCGGCAAGAAGGGGGACACCGTGGTCGTCGACGAGACGGTGGCCGGCGTCGATAAGGCGGACGGATGGGTGCTCGAATCCAGGAGCGCGAACAAAGGCGGGGCCACTACGGCGCGCGCAGGGCCGCGCAGGACCACCAAGCTGGTGCGGAAGCAGATCCTGAAGCGATTGCCAGCGCGGACGGTCTACAACACCCAGCAAGTGCAGAAGGGCTCCTTCAAGCTCAAGAGCAAGCCGATGAAGGGGCCGACGAAGGGGCCGATGAAGAGGCCGATGAAGAAGCCGATGAAGAGGGCCCCCCCGCGGAAGAACGTAGCCATTCGTAAGAGGCCCGCCGCCAACTTGAAGAGCAACGGCCGCTGGCTCTGGATCGCCGCACTCGCGGGCAACAAGTCCGACGTCTACACGCGCCAGGACCTCAGGAAGAGGGTGGCGCACAAGCTCCCGCCGCGCAAGGCCGACGCCCACAATGGCGAGCCGCGGGGTCTCGAAGAGATCAAGGAGGCTTTGGTGAGCCGCGCGCGCAAGAAGTCGATGGTCGCGTCCGACGGGTGGACCTCAACGCGTTCAGCCCTTGGGAAACTAGGTTTCGAGAGCCCCCCCCCCGCGGTGGTTCGCGAGGGCAACCAGTACAGGGACAAGAAGACTGGATTCCACACCAACGACGTGGAGTCGGAGAACGCTCGCGCCAAGGGATGGTCACGCAAGCGTTACGGCCACCTCCACCTGAGCGAGGCAGAGATGGACGAGTACGTCTTCTACGTCAACGTCGGCGGCGCGATGGCCAGCGTGATGCGGGGCCTGGCCGCGTCTAATGACTTCGTCGCGCGCAGCGCCGCGATCTGAGGACGCTTGCACAATGCACAGAGCATTGGCGAACGCAATGAGAAGCGGGCACGGCTGGGGCCTTGCTCGCGAGAGAAAAGTGTTCGCGGATGCAGAGGCGGCGGAGTAGGATGGAGAAGAAGGAGGAGAAGCGGGGAAGAGGGGGAGATCGGAGGAGCGAAACGGAGCCTGCACTTCTGCTCAGTTTTTCAGGGGGGCGGGGATACGGCAGAGCCCATATATATATATATATATATATATATATATATACATATCTATATACACCGACAGAAAGAGAGAGAAAGAGAGAGAGAGAGAGAGAGAGAGAGAGATCGAAGAAAAAGAATAAACAAATAGCATGGCCAAGAACCCAACCATATGCACCGCATTCGGTGGGGTCCCACATGAGGCCGCGAGGCGTGTGAGGGGTGTGCCAAAATGGGTGCAGTGGGCGCATGCGAACGCTTGCATTTGGGCCGTCGGTGGGGCCCCCTGCGGGGCCACGGAACGTGTAAAGGGCGTGTCAAAATGAGCGCGGTGGGCGCACAAGAACACTTGCATGTGGACCTTCGGAGGGGCCCCCGATGGGAGCACGCAACTTGCGAGGGGTGCCAAAATGGGCGCGGTGGGCGCATGCGAACACTGGCATTCAGGTCTTCGGTGGGGCTCCCGATGGGGTTCCCGAAACGTGAGAGGGGCGTGCCAAAATGAGTGGGTTGGCCGCGTGCGATCGCTGGCATTTGGGCGTTCGGTAGGGCTCCCTGTGGGGCCTCGGAACTTGTGAAGGGCGTGCCAAAATGGATGCGGTGGGCGTATGCGAACGCTTACATATGTGCCGTCGCTGGGGCTCCCCATGGGGCCACGAAACGTGTGAGGGGCGTGCCAAAGTGGGCGCGGTGGACGCATGCGAAAGCTGGCATTTGGGCCGTCGGTGGGGGCCCCTTGTCGGGGCCACGAAACATGTGAGTGGTGTGCCAAAACGGGTGCGGTGGGCGCATGCGAACGTTGGCAGTTGGGCCTTCGGTGGGGCGCCTTCTGGGGCCACGCAACGTGCGAGGGGTGTGCCACAATGGGTGCGGCGGGCGCATGCGATTGCATGCGTGCCTTCGGTGGGGCTCCTCGTGGAGCCACGAAACGCGTGAGGGGTGTGCCAAAATGGGCGCGGTGGGCGCGTGCGAACGCTTGCATTTGGGCCGTTGGTGGGGCTCCCCGTGGAGCCGCGAAACGTAGGAGGGGTGTGCCAGCATGGGCGCGGTGGGCGCATGCGAACGCTGACACTTGGGCCTTCGGTGTGGCTCCACATGGGGCCACGAAACGTGTGAGGGGCGTGCCGAACATGGGTGCGGTGGGCGCGTGCGAACGCTGGCATGTGGGCGTTCGGTAGGGCTCCACGTGGAGCGGGCCACGGAACGCGTGAGGGGTGTGCCACATTGGGTGCGGTGGGCGCATGCGAACGCTGACACTTGGGCTTTTGGTGGGGCTCCCCATAAGGCCCCGAAGCGTGTGAGGGGTGTGCCACAATGGGTGCGGTGGGCGCATGCGAACGCTTGCATCTGGGCCTTCGGTGGGGCTCCCTATGGGGCCACCCACGAAACGTGCGAGGGGTGAGCCAAAATGGGTGTCGACGAAGGTGACGATAACGGCGATGATGATGGCGATGATGATGATGAGAGCGAGACAGAGAGAGAGGGATAGACCGAACGATATCGAAAAGAGAGGGTAAGAGAGAGAGAGAGAGAACAAAAAAACTTAGTAAACTATATAGAGAGAGATGATGACCAAGAGAGAAGAGAAAATGTGCAGCTTTCAAATGGGAAGATAAGATAGGAGAGAGAGAAACAGAGATAGAGACGAGAGATAGAGAGAGAGAGGTTATGAAGAAACGTACGCTTTCGATTCCGATACTTGGGCTGGCAGGGAATGGTCACCGCCAATCCCCCCACCCACCCAACGGTTATGCAGCAGCAGCTTGGTGGTCATGCCGTGGCGTTGGAAAGATCACGGACACATTGCCTCCTGTGCTTTTCAGGCTCGGTGACTGTGGTGGTCGGTGGAGGCCTCTCAATCCATAGGGGGGCCATCCTAGCCCCACGCCTGCTTGTTCGGCCCCAGGAGGTGCGCATGTACATCAGGGAGCACGAGCTGGACAAGACGATCAACTCGATCCTCAACGATGTGCTGAAGAAGAGGCCCGAGGACCCCGTCGGCTACATGGCCGAGAGGCTCGCCGAGAGCTGCACCTCGGCGCCCGTTTTCGAAGCACTGCGGCCACTACCCCCCAAGGGCGACGGCGTCGACGAGCAGCCGTGCTTCGACGTGGTGGTTTTCTCCCGCGGGGTCCACGCGCGCGTCCACACGCTGATGCTGGGGGACGCCCTCTTCCAGAGCGGGGACCCTGCCGTCGCCAAGAGCCCGGTCGAGCCAGGCTCGGAGGATGCTAAGGGCGTGCTTGGCCCAGGGGTGCCCCCAGCTCGCCATGCCATCTTGGCGCAGGGGTCGAAATAACCTGTGCTTGGGCGATGTCATGGGCCGTTGTCGTTTCGATTTCGTCTTGCAGGAAAGGGGGACTGATGACAGAACGAGAGAGGGCGAAAACAAAGCGACCCTTGGGCCCTCCAGCCCTCGCGAGGGGTGCCCCGAAGGCGACGGGGAATGGCTTTCGCCTGGAAGTCCTAGGGACACCCTGGACCAGAGCCACCCCCAGCAACACCCCCCGACAGGTGCGCGGGCGGCCCTGGACGTGGGCGCACCAAAGGGCACCGATGCCGCTACTCCCTGGACCTCTCCCGGGGTGCGTCCCGACCAGGATTTCGGAGCGAATCCAGCGGTGGCGGCGAGGGCCTTCCAGGGAGGCCCAAAAAGAGGGAACGCGAGGGAAGGGTGGGAATGGTAGCGGTGTCGGTGCCTTGTTCTCCTCGGAGGACGCCTTCTTGGCGTCCTTCTTCGAGGGCGCCTTCGGGGAGATGTCGGTCGAGGACGTCCTGGCATTCCACGAGCGCTGCGCGCGCCTCGACGGGGCGCCCCCCCTGCGGGCGGGCCAGGCCGTCGACCCAGCCCGCGCCGAGGCGGCGCTGGCGGACGGGCTGCTCGTGGCGGCGGCTCGCTCGCTCGACGCCACGCCTCTGGAGGTGCTGCAGCGGGCGCTGGCCGCGGAGTGGCAGCGCCTGGCCGCCGTGCAGGGCAGCCGGGGCCTGGCCGCCCTCGAGGCGCCCAGGAGGAGGAGGAGGAGGAGGAGGAGGAGGAGGAGGAGGGAGGGCCCCCCCGGAGGCGGAGGCAAGGCGAGAGAGGACGAGGAGGAGGAGGAGGAGGAGGCGGCGGCGGCCGCGTCGGCGCGGCGGCGGCGGCGGCGGAGGAGGAGGAGGAGGAGAGGAGGAGGGGGATGTCGGAGGGAGGGGGAATTTTGGAATTGGTGAGGGGTGGGATGTGTAGTGAGGGATAGGGGTAGGAACAGGGACCCTGCCCTCTAGTAGACACGGCGCGAACTACCTCCCTGGCCAACCCAGCTGTGGCCCCGGCTCGCGCTGCCCGTGATCCACGGCGGCAGCCCCGGGAGCCTGCGCGCCCCGTCCCTGCGCGTCTGCCTGGCGCTGACGCCCTTCGCGGCGCCGGCGCCCGCCGAGCAGGACGAGGGGCACCCCGAGGCGTGCCCGCCGCTCGGCTGGTTCGCGGCCGCGGCTCGGTCGCTGCAGGCCGCGGGGAGGGAGGCCGTGAAGGTGCTGCAGGCGGAGAAGGCGGCCAACTGCGTGGTCGGCGACGTGGCGTTCGCCCCGCCGGGCGGCCTGCTGCAGGCGGCGCAGCTGGCCAAGAGGGCAGCGGAGGCGGCCCTCGGGGCCGAGAAGCTGGCAGAGACGTGCGGGGTTCTGCTCGCCGCCGGAGAGGAGGCGTGGCTCCCCGAGGAGGGCGTCTACGAGGTCGAAGTGGGCAAAAAGCTGACCCTGGAGCAGCTCGTGGACCTCTACTCCGAGCTCGCGGAGGAGGGCTGGGTCCGCACGATCGTGCAGCCCTTCCGGCAGGAGGACGCGGCGGCTGGCTGCGAGCTGCTTCTGGCGCGGCGGCCAGAGCTGCTGCTGGAGTGCGACTACGGGCCCGGAGAGGCTGCGCCGCGCGCGCCGCCGAAGGGTGCCGCGTTCGGCTGCGTGCTGCACCTCGCCACCTCGGCGTCCCGGACGCTGCGCCGCTACACACAGCTGGCCCCCCTGTGGCAGGACCTCATTGGCGTGGCGGACGAGAGGCGGTACCCAGACATGAGATCGCGTCGTGAAAGCATCCGAGCGGGAGGTCTGGGGCTACGTTCGGCCCCGGGGGGGCCCTCGCCGGGCCTCGGGACCGTCAAGAAACGACTCAGGACGAGAATCGGGGAACAAAAAGTGACATAAAAATAAAAACTCTGAGGTCCGCGCGGATTTCTCGGAGTGGCGCTGGACCCCCCCCCTGGCGCGCGGGCGCGCCATGGGCGGCGCCGGAGGCGCCGCCGGGGGGCCCCAGCGCCGATCCGAGAAATCCGCGCGGACCTCTGGGTTTTTTCACCATATCCTAGGATGGGGTTCTTGTTATTACTTGGACGCCTCCTACTCCCTCTTCCTCCTCCTCTTTCCTCTTCCCCTCCTCATACTCAGACTTACTCATACTCAGACTTACTCATACTCAGACCTACTCATACTCAGACTTACTCACACTCAGACATACTCATACACAGACTTACTCATACACAGACTTACTCACACCCAGACGTACTCATACACAGACTCACTCATACACAGACTTACTCATACACAGTATTAGTCATACTCAGACTTACTCATACCCAGACGTACACATACACAGGCTTTCTCATACACAGACCTACTCATACCCAGACTTACTCATACACAGACTTACTCATACACAGACTTACTCATACTCAGGCATACTCATACTCAGACCTACTCATACTCAGACTTACTCAACACACATCAGATTTGGAGGATGTCTCAGGCGGGGCGCTCGTTTCAGCACCCCTAAGGGTAGCCGCCAGGGGTGATTGCACGGGTTCGTTCGCGGCCATTTTGTGGGGATGTCTCAGGCGGTTTGCCTGTTTCCGGGCTCAACATCCTTCGCTTGGAGAGCAGATTGTGAGGATGTCTCAGGCGGGGCGCTGGTTTCAGCACCCCTAAGGGGAGCCGCCAGGGGTGATTGCACGGGCTCGTTCGCGGCCATTTTGTGGGGATGTCTCAGGCGGTTTGCTTGTTTCTGGGCTCAACATCCTTCGCTTTCGGAGCAGATTTGGAGGATGTCTCGAGCGAGGCGCTCATTTTCACCCCCCAGGTGGCCAGATTTTGAGGATGTCTCGATCGGTTTGTTAGTTTTGGTGGCCAGGCTCGTGGCCCTACGGGGGCCTCCAGGGGTGGTTGCACGGGCTTCGTTCGCGGCCATTGTTGGTTTAAGGGATGTCTCAGGCGGTTTGCTTGTTGCTCTGGCTCAACAATCCTTCGCTTTCGAGCAGATTTGGAGGATGTCCGAGCGAGGCTCTCATTTTTCACTCCCCCAGGTGGGCCAGATTTTGAGGATGTCTCGATCGGTTTGCTTGCTTTGGTGGCTCAGGCTCGTGGGCGCAGATTCTTCTCAGGATGCCACAGGAGGCTCCAACAGGCTCCAGGAGGCTCCAGGAGACCACATGAGGTCCCAGGAGGCATCAGGAGGCCACAGAAAGACTCAAGAGGCCACAGGATGTCCCAAGAGGCCCCAGGAGGCCCCAGGAAGCTCCAGAAGGCCTCAGGAAACCACAGGAGGCCCCAGGAGGCAACAGGAAGCGCCAGGAGGCCTCGGAAGGCAACAGGAGGCCCCGAGAGGCCCAGGAGCAGGAGGCCTCAGAAGGCAACAGGAGTGGCTCCAATCCCATGTGTTTTACGTATGCTCCTATCGATTGGGCCTCACCTGGAGCACGATTCTTTGATTTTCTACGTATGTTTCTATAGATGGTCCTTCTCCTGTGTACACAATCCTAAATGTTTTACTCATGTTCCTATGTATTGGGCCTCTCCTGGGGCACGAGTCCTTGGTGTTTTACGCGTGTTCCTATAGATTGCCCTTCTCCTGTGGCTCTAATCGCAATGTTTTATGTACGTCTGCTGCTATAGATTGCGCCTCTCCTGGGGCACGAAACCTTCCTAGGAGGTCCCAGGAGGTCCCAAGAGGCTCCTGGAGACCCCAGGAAGCCCCAGTAGGTTTCAGGAGGCCCCAGGAGGCCCAGGCTCATGCACAGAGACGCGCTCGTACTACTGAGGCTCATTCACACTCCAATTCATTCGCAGTTAGATTGATGTCCAGACCGTCACAACTGAAGCCCGTTAATATTCGAAAGCTCTTGCGCCTAGACATTCACGGCGGACAGGTCCATGCGAGTAGATGCACACATGGGGAGCTCCACGCAGTGAATAATATGTCTATGCCACTTTTTGTTCCCCTCGAAAAACCGGTCCTTGGGAAAGGGTCGGAACTTCCAGGGACGCCGCCCCGAAAAGATCAGGACGTCGCATGTCTCGGATGGGAGCACCACAGGGCCAGGGGGGCCAGGAACACACTGGAGCGACAAAGAGAGAGGGGTTTTGCGCGAGATGCTCGACCACAAGAAACCTTCCACAAGAAACCTTCCACAGGGGCGTCGCATGCCTGGGGCCGTGCCGCCCTCGGGGACGCCTGCCCCCGGGGCGGCGAGGCCAGCCACAACCCCCACACGGTGGCGCGTCGGGATTTGGACTTCCCCTCCGCCCTGTGAGAGGCGCCCCCCCGCTGGCGTCGAGTCGGGCCTGTCCCTCTACAGGGGGGATATTCAAAAGTGGTCCAAAAATAGTCGGGGGACGATGTTTTGACTATTTCGTAGCATTCGGAGTGTATGTTTGGGTTTTTGTCATAGTTGTTTAAAATAATATTCAAGAAAAATGTTCGCCCAGAATCCCCCTGTAGGGGGACAGGCCAGACCTAATGCTGGCGGGACAGGGCTCTGCCATGCCGCCCTCCCTTCCGCGGAAGGACGCCGGCCACGGGTGCGGGAGGTGCGCCCTCGTGGACGGGGCCTGCGGGCCAGCGCCCCCCTCGGTGCTCGACATGGCGCTCGCGTGCCGGTCGCGGGTGCTGTGCTTCACCTCCGCGATGGCGGACGAGGCCGGGAGGAGAAGCGACAACAAGCACGAGCTGTCGGAGGTCCGCGCGGATGTCCTGGGTCGGCGCAAGATCAGGAGGGGAAAAAACACACAGACACAATTAATCGTCGATTCCGCAGAAAATATGGGAAAATATGGGCAGTGGGGGGGGAGACAGAAACCCAGAAAATATTTGAAAATATGGAGAATCCTTTTATTTGTGTGTATTTATTTGTGTGTCCCAGGGCCCCTTCACAAGACACACACAGCCTGCGGCGCCTCCGGCGCCGCCCCTGGCGCGCCCCGCGCGCCTGTGGGGGTGGTCCGGCGCCGATCAGGAAGCTCGCGCGGAGCTCCGAAAGTTCGTGCTGCTGCCATCTTCCCTTCGAGAGAGGCCGTGGCCGCCGTCTCCGCCGGGGCCGACGAGGCGCTCTGCCGCCTCCTCTTCGACGACGCCCCTGAAGGCGAGGCGGCGTGACGGCCATACGTCCTCGCAGGGCCGGCCGGGCCCCCTGCTGCATTTGCGCGGCGGTGGGGGCTCGACGGATGCAGCAGCGGGATGCCGCGAACTCTCCCCAATGGCCCCACCTCGACTCCTCCTCGGCCTCCCCCTCACCACCGCCGCCATCGCCAAGGGTGCCCGCAGGCTCGGCCGGCTCGGCCGCGCCGCGGCCGGTTGCGCTCGGTCCCTTCGGTTTGGCCGGCTGCTGTGCTGCCGCTGCGCCCCCACGCCCGAGGGCCGCTTGCGGCCTTCTCTATCGGCTTCGGTCGGTTTCGGGTTCACTGTCGGCTCGGTCGGTTTTCGGTGGTGTTGCGCCGCCGTGGACGGCCCCGATCGCCATCGGGAGGCTGCCGTGCTCGCTCCCCTCACCGGCCGGGGGGGGGGCCTCCCCGGCAGGGCGCGGGGGAAGCAGCTTTTGGGCGAGCTCCAGCTCCGCCCCGGCGTGGCCCGCGGCAAGGGCGTCCAAGACGCGCTTGTTCTCCTCCTCCTCCTCCTCCTCCTCCTCCTCCTCCTCCTC